CAAATGTCGGCTGTCTGGGATAACATCGAGGCAACCAAAGCGGAAGTGGCGGAATACAAGTCGGCTCCCGGTCGAGCACGAAAGTCAGCCGTGGAAGCCTTCTTCGCAGATGACGATGAGGTGGAGCCAGGCGGAACTGATGACAAGGTCCTCGCAGTGCTGAAAAGAGATTCATCGCACATCATGGGCTTGAAGCTTGATATGCCGAGGGAGCTATGGCAACGATTGGAGCGAAGCAGTCCCATTCCTTGGATATTCAGCCACTTGAATGACCTGCATGTCACACCACCGAGCAGATGGCGCGGTCAACCACGGATTCCCTTCCTCGCTCCGCATCTGCGGGTTCTGCGTTCCGATGGCTTCGAGGCATATGCCATCCATCAACTGGTGTCATCTAGTCTGACGACGTTGGTCCTCCTTCATGCTGGTAGTCAGCGAAAAGCGCACGTTCTAGCGACACTGCGAGCCGTACCAAATCTAGAGCAGCTCCCCCTTCGAGTCTGTCTTGCGGAGGAGGAGAAAGGTGGTATGGATGCTATGATGATCGCAAATCTCCCGGCCCTTAGATACTTTGAGTTGTGCCTTGAATGGGAGGAGAATCTCTGGCTTCTAGGAGCGCTCCGTTACCCAGACACGACCTCCGTGATATTCGGCCTCTCATACGTCCGTGAGTGGGAGACGGCTGTCCTGCTTGAAGGCGTCGGCACGATTATCAACGGAGCTGTATTGAAGAAGGCGCTCCGTCGTTGTACCATCCGTATCTGGGGCACAGATGGCTTGATGATCTGGTTCTCAAGACTGCCAGGAGATACGAATCATACAAAGAGGGAAGAAGCGATTACATTGATCTTTCGTTGCTACAAAGACGACGATGAATACGGCATCTTGGGACTTCTGACTGAAAACACCAGCCCGTCGCTCGCAGCAGTCGAACACCTCCCTGTCCAGGAAATGGTGGTTCGCACTGCGGCGAGTGCACATACATGGAAGAACGTACTTCGAGCGATGCCTCGGGTGAGCGACTTGGTGCTCATCGGGAATGCAGCCGCGAACTTCCTAGTGGACATTGGCCCTGCCCTCTGGACTCATGCAGCCGTGGCTGATACTAGCAAGGCCGAGGATGTGTTCACACAACTCGAGAACATAGCCCTGGACCAGGTCACATTTGGCTCAGCGAACTTGGTCAGGAGCGCCTACGCATACCTGCTCAGGTTTGCTCAGGTCCTTCCGATTGGAAGAGAGATTAAAATTACCGTCCACGAGGCAGTCGATCTCAGAGACGAGGATGTCAGGCAAGTGGTGCTGGATGTAGGTACTGTAGAGGTCGTGATTGATCGAAGATAGATGCAGATGTGGAGGCAGTAGCACCAGGAGGAACTTGAAGGAGAAGGCAATGGGACAAGAGCAGGATACAGTTTCAGAGAATGACGGTGACAATCTCAGGGGGATATGTCGGAATCTGTGTATTGCAACCTAATGATCCTGTACGTGATCATGTATCACCTCGTATCTGGATCTTCAAGAGAACCTTGGGCCTGTGCTTTTAGCAATCGAGTACCTGCAGCTCCCTAGATACGAACATGCCTGGAAGGTCCTACTTTGGGCGATAACATGGGTGTAAGCCGCACTACATCTGGACGACAGCGGCATTATTCCTAGCGGAGGGCCTGCGAACCCTTGAGGCTGAGGGGACGAAGCTCGCCAAAAGGACGCTCCCCAGTCTTTATCTGGATATTGTGCAATAATCCAAGACCGTCCAGTGTCCAACTCATACACATACATAGTAGTTCTGCACACCCGTCTCGTATTGTTGTTAAAAGAACAACTCCATGACTTTACTTCCATCCTGGTATCAGAGCCTCTTGAGCCTCTATTCGCATTGCATTAGCGAAGAGTTCAGATACCGAAAGTCGGTCACCTCGCCAGAGTTGAAGAGATCCGGTATGGCGCACGTTAAAAGGGAGTGGTTTCCTATTTCCTCGCACGCAAGCGGAGACGAACAATATATGACATACACCCTCTTGCATCCGCTGCCTATGCGGGAGGGATTTCTTCCAATGGCGCGGCACGAGGACCGTGCGACGGAGGCAAGCGTGGGAGATGCCACTGCTCGCGCATAACAGGGCCAAACACGACGTTAAGTGCCACAACCACGCCAAGTTGAACTTGCCCCGCTCCTTGACACCAAACCAACACTGACCACTTATCCTCGAACACTACCCTATTATCCAATATCAGCGACGATGCCTCGACCGTATGGAAGGCAGAATCATCTCACCGTGGTTGGCTTGTCCCAACGCGAGGTGAGCCGGTGGTACCCTCCCTCGTGCTTGTTGTCCGGGGACTCTGACCCGCTGGTACAGGATACGCATAGGCTGTCGCCAATCAGTCGTTTGCCTGCAGAACTAATGGTCGCCATCCTCATCGGCGCTATCGTCGATGAGAAGGCCGCATCAGAGAAAGAAGGGCGCTCGCCACATTCTTGGCTAAAATTCCTCCACGTTTGTGGCACCTGGCGTCAGCTCATATACACAAAGTCAAGCCTCTGGACGGAGTTCAACGCCACGAGTGCGGACGTAACGCAGTACATGCTGGATCGCAGCGGCGCACAGAAAGCGGTGGTGAAAGGGTGCATGCGCGGGTACCCCGAGGAGAGGTGCGAAGGGATCCTCTCGGTTCTGCAGAGGGAATCGCGGCGACTTGAGAGCCTGGACCTCGACATGCACACGGAGACATGGCGGGGTTATTGCCTCGGCAACCCAGAGCCCTGGATGCTGGACGAGCTCGAGTCCCTAACGGTCGCGATGCCCATGTTCTGGTATGCGCAGGCGCATCTACCATTCGCAACCGCGAAGCTTAAGACGCTAGAATCTAAGAACTTTGACTTCCGCGCCATCTGGCCGCTCATGGGCCCCACACTCAAGAAGCTCGTTGTCAGACTTGATGCGGCGCTACAGACACCGAGGGCCGTCCATGCCACTATCAGAGCGGTCCCGAACCTCGAGGATCTCACCCTGCACGTCAGGCTATGGAGGATCAACTTGATCGACTACTTGGTGACCCCGCAGAGCATCACTCTCCCATGCCTGAAACGCATCGAGTTGTACATCAACAGCGAGGAGCATCTGCGGCTGCTTGCCCTGCTCCAGTATCCTATCACGGCATCGACCACTTTCCAGCTGGACTGCCAAGACTCGTTGGTAGTGTCCGCCCTTATCAGCGGTGTCAGCCAGGCCGTCAACGACGTGGTGGCCAGGCAGGGCCTCCATCACTGCACCATGGGGGAGTTCAACACGTCGGGGATCCAGATCACATTCGCCAGGTCCAGGCAAGAGATGGAAGCGGGGATGAGTGAACAGGAGTTCAAGCTGGCCGTTAGTGGCTACCATGTCGATCAGGAAGCCAATATTATGGGGCAGCTTGCCCAACACCTCGCGCCTGCACTCGCATTGATAGAACACCTGCAGTTTTCCAGAGCAACCAACCGAAATGACAGACGTGCCCATGCTTGCAAGGTCCTCTTTCGAGCGATGATTGGGGTGCGGGAGCTGGAGGCTGTCGGGGGGAAAGCAGCACAATTCCTATGGCAGATACTAGCCCCCCGTTCCGCTCAAGGGACGACCGGGGCCGGAAGATTGTGCCCCAATCTCGAGAACGTAACCTTGCGCTGGATGCCGTTTGGTTGGCCAGAAGAGGAGTCCAAGATTGATAAGGCTTTTAGGAATCTGCTAAGCTTTGCTCAGTGTCTCCAAGTGGGAAACTACCGAACAAAACTCACCATCGTGGACGGGATAAATCTCCCGGATGAAGTTGTCGATCGCGTGCGAAGCATTATGGTGAACCTGGGGTGGGTTGGGCAAATCGTGGTCCGGGGGGGTTGGAAATTGTAATAGCGGGTGGAATAACAATGAGCGGGTCGAATGAGAGGTGTGTCCAGAGCGCGGGATGTCAATCAAAGCGTGCAAAGTTCCCTCGGGTCGTGTCGTATCCTGTTTCGTACTATACGTCCTATTAGCATACTTTATCTTTCACCGTCCTGACATAAGAGTCTAAGTCTCTTGACTCTCTACTCTCTGTGGAATGCAGAATGCTTCAAAGTTCCGACGAGCCTGCGATCTTACCAGATCAGTTCTTCATCTAGTCACCAGAGTCGAGGTGATCAGAGCGATTCCTGGGTCATTGCACGAGCCTTTTCTCTGAATCCGCTTTCGTTTTCCGAGAACGCGCGCTCCGTGAACCTGCCTAGAGGACGACCGACGTAGCTTTTGCTGCCGCAACGACAAGTGAGAGAGAGGAACAAAACCGGCCAATTTCGTCGCGACCATAAAGCTTAAGGCTCCCACGATGAAAGGAGACCATAGAATACAATGTTTATGCCACAACGTACAGTAGTGGTACACACTGATAGACATATTATTATATCAATTATTACAAATACTCCTGTCTCACAAGCACTCCCACTTCTGACCATCCAGCGCAACCAGTCGGTTAAACAACTCCTCCCTCTTCTCCACCGCCGTACACAGTCTCGCCTTCCCCTCGCGGTCCACAATCTCCAGCCCATCCACAATCTCCATCCCTAGCGCATACCCAACGACCAGCCTCCCCTTCGCCCCCAAGCCGCCCACCTTCTTCAGCTCCCTTATATCGCTAATCGCGACGCTCCACTTCGGGTCGTCCTTCCCCGCCGGCTCGAACGACACGCACGGGCTCGTCGCCTGCGTGCTGATGATCGCCACGCCCTTCTTCCCCTCGTACCGGCAGTTGAACGCCGTCGGGCCCTCCGAGTGCTCGGACTTGTGGTCATGCCCGTGCAGCACCCCCAGCCGGCGCTTCGCGTGCTCGTCCCCGATCGTCTTCGCGCGCACCTGGTCTACGCCCAGGATCGTGCTCACGCCCGTCCGCGCGGTGCCCTTGATGAAGTTCAGGAGCCGGTGCTGCTTCTTAGGCTTTTCCTCCCTCTGCGCCTCTTTCTCTGCCTGCTTCTGCAAGTCTGGGTGCTGGATGGAGTCGAGCTCGGCTTGAGAGACTTCCATGGGCATGTCATCCTTCGATAACGGGGTCGTCGGGCGTTCCGGAGGAGGCTCGTGCGCATCGCGCGATGGCGGAGGGGGCAGTGGCGCCTTGTGGGCTTCAGCAATCCTTAGGAGAGTAAGCGTAAGCTGGGCATTTGTCGGCGCTCCTTTCAGGAAGGTGCTGCGATGCCAAGATATCAGTCAGGACCGGTAATACACTCGTGAAACAAACCCCGCGTACTTGCGCGGCTCAAGATACCACCTCCAGTTGGGAACCTTCCTCACGAACCATTCCATGCCTCTGACGAGGACGGGCTGGCCGAAGAATGCAATCCCAAGTATAAATGTAGTGCCACGATACACCATCCTCTCGTCCAGGAACAACGATCCCAACACGAGCGGGGCAATCATCCCCGCAAGCCTAAACCTGACAGCGTGACCAAACGGCGGAGTGGGCGACAAGGCACTACGCTCATGACATCAGTGCACAACTTTTAACACAACACTCCAGATCAGCGCGCTCACTTTGCAAACATCTCCCAAACATCCGCAATACCCGCAACCGCTCTCATCGCAGGGCGCGTCTTCTCCCACATCGCCTGATTCACCGGCTCCTTCGTGCTATCCACCTCCCCCTTCGGCTTCTTCCCGCTGCTCACCTCCTTCACCTCCCCCGCGCCCACGATCATCTCGCCTACATCCGGCACGCCCCGCCCAAGTTCCTTATCCGCGCCGGGCAGCGCCTCGTTGTCCACAACGCCCTCGTCAGCCTTCCTATCCGACCGCGCCTCCTCCGGGCCCTTCCCGATAGCCGTGCCCGCCGCCAGCCCCGCGAGACTCGTGACAAAGTTCGACGCCTCGTGCTCGACGGCCTCGCCGCGGTACCGCTCCGGCGCGCCCGTCAACGAGTCCTTGCTGTCGAGTTGCCCGGAGCGCGGTTGCTGCAGCGTCCCCGTCGAGGCGGACACTGCTGCGAGAGGCGCAGGGGGGAAGAGGAACGCCCGCGCTGGGGGAGAAAGGATGAGGGTCAGGATGAGGGTCAGCAAGGCGGGGAAGATGATGTTCAGTGCCCAGGCGACGTAGTAACCCTGAGACGCGTCAGGCAAGTGCGGACTGTAGCAGCGACTGTACGTACCACCAACCAGGCAATAGTCCGATTGCGCTCGTTCCACGAACGTAGTCGCGCGATGTGCTTTGCGAATGCTGCGAGACCGATGAACTGGCACGAATTCAGCCACAGCCACAACTGATGAAGCGCTGCGACGTACCACCGTGACATACACACGCTCAATCTGACTGCGCAGTTTCTCGGGTGCAAACTCTTCCTCATCTGCCGGCCACAGGTCCAAGCCGCCAGGAAGCGGGCCTTCTACTGCTCTGACGTGGTAAAGTTGCTGCAGCCCGTTGAGTACTTCTGCGGACATTCAGAAATGTCACGCTTACCCGATTAAACCTTCTAATCAGCGCCCACAGGTCCTCGTTATCCAGCCCGCTGACGAGTTGTCCCCCTGTAGGCTTTTCCCATCCCACATCAACGAGCCCCTTGTCCACCTTCTCCTCGCCCACCACTTTCCCGTTCAGCACCTTTCGCGCACGCGGATTCTCCGGTGGAAATGCGTCGTCCGGCCTCGACGATTGCACTCCTTCTGCAGCAGCCGAATATGGCGGGGGCTGCGTCGTATCAATCACCGTCGGCTCATTGGACTGGGACGAGGGCTGCGTTGGGACGGTGGAAGGCTGGTCGGTAGTTTCTGTCGGCTTCTGGGGGGGTTGGGGCGGCAGAGGTTTGTCGGACGTCGAGGGCTCCTTCGCATGGTCTCTCGGGTGCGTGTCGACCTTGTCGACCTTTATGACGGTTGTCCCGTGAGGGTCTTCACGTAGAATACGAGCATTGCCGTTGCCTTGAGCGTTCCCGTTGACTTGGGTGCTTCCGTTCGCCGCTGGCTGAGAGATCGCCTGGACAGCCGGGTGGCTCGGCGGAGCCACGTACGACTGGTCGGACAAGTCTGGCATCGAGTTCGATGGCTATAACAGAGAAAAAGACGAGAACTTGGGTAC